CCCCCCCCCCACATGGTCCACTCAGTATGTCTTCCATTTAGACTACTTCCAAACATCCACCCTTAACCCTGTCTGGTGTTTTTTCTGCTGCTCCAGAAATCTCCCCCAAAGCTGTTTATTTATCTGCTTATTTATTTACTTGGAATATGAAATGGCTCGATCAATGAGACTGTCCAACCAGCATACATAATCTATAGCAAGGGGATTGAGTAGTCCAATCTGGAGCAAAGTACAATTTGCTAGAGCTGGTCTCTGGATAGGGGATAGTGAGGAAAAAGAGAGAATGATGAAACCTTGGGGTATGGCACCAGAGGGACTATTTGCAGAAGGTTCCTTAAGCCTTCTTGGGGGAAGGTTGTGGGGGAAGATGGTACTCACAGGGATTTGGGGATTTACAACCTCATAAAAGAGCATTGAAATTACTATTTCAATATGAAAAGAGAGGGTTGAAGAGATGGCACAAAAAGGATGCTTTCCAGTACTGTGGTGGTCTGATCCCTGAAGCAACACTTTTAGGCATTTCAGTGGAGGAGATAGTTAAGTTTAGGTTCCAGTGGAGCTCAGAGACTTTTAAATTACTAGTTTAAAAGAAAGACATCTTGAATGTTCCTTGTGAAAGAAGGCAGCAGCAGGCATGAGCACTGCAAAAGAGAAGATAGGCATACAGTGAACCAGGCCATGCAAGGGGATGATGGCTTTACCACAAGCAGCCAGAGCTACAGATTCCAGCTGAGGACCACCAGCAAAGGCAGTGCCCACTGAACTCATGGAAAACTGCAGCAACTGAGGGTTAATACCCACCAGGGATCCCCAGAGAAAGACATTTCTGAGGGCTTAGGCTTCTGGGAATCACTGCTGGGTGAGGAAGTATTCACCACCCTCCTCTGTTTGACCGAGGCAGGGAAGTCCTGGGAAATTTGTAACTGAGAAATCAGAAACCCAAATTATCCTTGGACAAGCCTCATGTCTTTGAGGGGATGACACTTGCTGAACTTCTACTCTGTCATTTAAGCTTTAGCTTGTGGTCTTCTGTTCATTCAGAGTATATATGGATTCCTGAGGCTATTGTGATCAAAGGAGAGAACATCCATTTATGGATGTGTTGTGGGCTCAGTGGCTGCATCCCTCTCCAAATTACATATGGCATCCAGGGTGGGCCAAGGGTCCTTTCTCATGAGGGATTGCTTATGATCCCTTCCCATGAAAGTCCTACCTCCCCCTATAGTCATAAGGCCACGAAGACTGACTTGGCTGAATTGTTTTCCTGGGTCTAAAGACATCTTATAACTGGCAAGAGGATCCTCCAGAGGTTCCGGATTGTGGTAGACCATGAATATAATAATAACAGCTAGTACTTATTGAACGCTTATGATATGCCAGGCATTTGCTACCTGCTTTACCTATATTATGCCACTGAATCTTCAAATCACTCCTATGGGGTAGGCATTATTATTATTATTATCTTTCTTTTAGAGATGAGGGGGTCAGACTCAGAGTGGTCAGATAACGTTCCAGGGCTCACACAGTAGGGATGAGGTACAGTTTTAATCACTACCCTACACTGCCCTCTCTTTCCTTGGGGTGGGTGGTCTCTCTTTGAAAGAAGCATCCTGCTGCCCTCTTTCATGTTTGGAGGTAAGGAAATGGCTCAGAAGTTAGCTAAACAGATAGGGGATTGCTGGCTGAGGTCAGAGCAAGATGCCTGTGGCCTATAAATAACAGTACAAACAATACTTAGAAAACATACAAGTCCCCTGTTGTGGTGAACCCAAAGACATGCCATGTAGATATCCCTTCAAATAAAGACTTATTTGCCCCAGTTGTCCCCTCCTTCAGGGTTTTCCTCAGCTGCAGTGAGCTGTCTTGCTCAAGACCTTACTCTTCCCAGGGTGGCAAACATCCAATGAGTGATGGCACCAGGGGTACTCCAGCCCAGGTACTTCACAACATTTCAACCCAATGCAGGATAACTCTGATTAGTTGAAGCTTCCAGCATTGACCTTTGACTTCTCTTTCTGTTCAATCCTTCTTCTGCCCCCTTCCTGTTATAGGAATGGGTCTCTAATAACTACTTTGCATCCCAAGCTCTGTCTCAACATCTGCTTCTAGAGAACCTAACCTACAACAGCTGTGCATCTGGATAGGCAAGCTCCTGGCTACCATCCTGGGAGGGAGATGACCGGAATTTACTCTGGTTATCCAACGAAGATTCTTGGTCTCCCTATGGGAAAGGCTAAATCTACTTTCCAACTTTTTCGATGTCATGACCCTCATGAACTTACAATATTAGGACAGCTCACTGAAGGAAATGAAGGAGGCTGCTTGGGGTTTGGAGGAAAGTTCTGGAGTCTCTAACCTGTTGTTAGACTGAGGTGAAGGACACATTGAACACATTCAGGACACACTGGTTGGGAGGTTTCAGGTCAATTCAAAGATCCTATTGCTCTAAAGAGGAAGAGGATAACTTTTAAAAGGCCTACACATATATTTACTCATTAACTGGGCTTGATTATGTGAACTAAAGGCTTAATTGTAAGAGGCAAAATTATAACACTTTTGACAGAAGAAGATTTTTTTTTTTGAGTTAGAGTCTCACTCTGTCACTCAGGCTGGAGTGCAGTGGCACACTCACAGCCACCCAGCGTCAACTTGTTAGGCTCTGGCGATCCTTCTGCCTGAGTCTTCCATGTAGCTGGAACCACAGGTGTGTACTACCATGCCCAGGTAATTTTTATTTATTGTAGAGATGTGGTCTCACCAAGTTGCCTGGGTTGGTCTTGAACCCACGGGTTCAGGCAATCCATTCACCTTGGCCTCTTAAAGTGCTGGGATTATAGGATGAGCCACCAAGCCAGGCCTAGGAGATCTTTATAGCCTCAGGTTACGGAATTATTTCTTAAATAAAATATACAAAAGAGCACACCTCAACGGAGAAGATTGATAGTGGTATCTAAATATCAAGAACCTCTATTCATCAAAAGGCATCATGAAGAAACCAAAAAGACAAACTATAAACTGTGAAAATATATTAGCAATAATAGAATAATATTTGCAAAGCATTCATATTAAGAATATTTATGAAAATGTTAATGAATCAGCAAGAAAAAGACAAGCAATTCAGTAGAAAGATGAGCAAAAGACATATACAGGCATTTCACAGAAAATAGAAATCACCATAAACATATGGACAGATAGTAAACCTTACTAGTAAACAGGGAAATACAAATGTCCATCAACAAGGAAAAATAAACAAGCTACAGCTACTCACATCAACATGGATGAATCTTAAAAACTCAATGTTAGTAAACAAAGCGAATTACAGAAAAATATATGTTCGATTCCATTTCTATAAATACACATTTGCTTTCTTGTGTGTGTGTGTGTTGGGGTCTCACTGCCACCCAGGCTGTAGTGCAGTGCTATGATCATGGCTTACCACAATCTTCACCTCCTAGGGTCAGGCAATCCTTCTGCCTCAGCCTCCTAAGTAGCTGACTACAGTCATGTGCCACCATGCCTGGCTAATTTTAAAATTTTTTTGTAGAAATAAGGTCTCACTGTGTTGCCCAGGCTGGTCTCAAACTCCTGGGCTCAAGATTGAATTCATTTTCAAAAACAAGAAAAACTAAATACATAAGACAAAACTATAAAGAAGGAGAGGAGTTAACAAATTCAGAATATGTTGTAGAAAAGGCAGGGCTGATCATATTTTAATTCAGGGGTTGGCAGCCTGTGGACCAAATCCGTTTACCCCCATTTTCTGTACAGCCTGTGAATTAAGAAAGTTCTTACTTTTTTTAATGGTGAGGAAAAATGTCAAAAAAGAATAGTATTTTGTGACATATGAGAATTATATGAAATTCAAAATTTCAGTATCCATAAATAAGGCTTTACTGGAACAGAACCATTTCCATTTGTTCACATATTGTCAGTCCTTCTGCAAACCATCCCCCACCCTACATATACACAGCCATCCGTTGCCCCTGTTGGAAAATAATTTTCCATGTGCTTCTTGCATTTCTGCATGTCTTATGAGCAGAGATGCTGACTGCCCTTGTTCTGGCCTACCTTTAAAAATGTTTGCATAAGGTGAAGTGGGGACCAAAGTGAGGTCCAAACTTTACCTACACAATGATCATTTGTATACCGAATCTGGAAGTGTACCCCACAACCTTAAAATAAAAATTAAAAAAGTAAAAAAAAAAAAAAGAATATTTGCATAGCAAGCATCCTTGGAATATAAAGATAGTGTTGCCCTCCATAGCAAAAAGCAGGCATGCTCACTGCCCACTAGAAATGTTTCTCTAATCTCAGGTTTCCTCTTCTGTGACAGAATCCACTGCATGGGCGTGCACTATTTGGCCCTCTTTGCATCATTCTGTGCACATAGTGAGTCAGAGAACTAGGGCAAGAAAATGCTGATACTCTGGCTACTGCTATTACTGTGAGTAACAAACTGTCCTTTGTTTTGACCCAGGAGTCTTGTGTCTTCTAGGTCCCATGAAAATATGGCAGGGGGAAATCTCAGACCATTCACAGTTCTTGATACTCATCCACAACCATGTTTACAGGTGAGAAAATGTAGGACCAGAGAAGGGAAGTGATAGGACTATGGTTTCTCTACTGATGAAGAGTAGCACTAGCACAAGATGTCCTATTTTCCTGACTCCAATTGTCCAATCCATATTCCCTGCCTCCCAGCAGCTTCTCAGGACCTCTCCAGGCCTCTGAAAGACTTAGGACTCTACCTTGCTTCTCTTTGAGACTCCCAGACACACTTTGGTCCTTACCTTTCACGCTGCATTTGAAAGTTTGACTGACCACTCCTGTATTATTTTCCTTTTCTGCTGGCCACTGATACACATAGACTGTGGTTCTGGAAGATCCGGCATCCAGCACAATTCCATACTGAATAAAAAGAAGAAGGGAGAGTCAGAAACTGGCTGGGACCCCTTGAGAACTTTCCCAGAGGGCACTGAGAATGCTAAATACCCTAATCCACACTACTTCCCTTATGTAGGGACTGACCAAGAAAAGAGATGATTTTCTCCAAGCTAATTTTGTTTCCTTGGACTGTGGGGGAAGGGGATGAGGTGAGGTAGGTCAGGGTCTAGGGCTCTCAGTCTTGGTTGTGAATTAGAATCACCTGGGGAGCTTAAACAACTCCCAGTGGCAAGGCTGCACCCCAGACCAATGCAATGACTCTCTGAGAGTGGACGGGGCATCCACAGGTTTTTAAAGCTCCCAGATGATTCCAATATGCAATCAAGGTTGAGAATTGTACTCCATGGATCTTGTATTACAAACATAGTTCCCCGGATTCCCTCTAATCCAGATCTCCAAAAATAAGGAACAGAAACCACCTGGATCTCAGAAGGGAAATGAATGGCTAGTCACCTGCATGCCCTTTATTCTCCAAACGTCTAGGCTTATCAGCCTTGAAATAAACAATCAAAAGTAAACTATAGAAAGAAACTGTGGGAAGCTCTCATAAGGGAGAGACACCCATCTGCATCTGCCCTCAGAATGAACATATTCATAATTAAAAAGAAAAAACAAAATACAAAACAATATTGACACAGCGCTCCTACACACGCATTTGGTAATACATATGTGAATAAACAGACAGACAGGTGAGGCTGAGCAGTGCTGGTGCTGGCTGCACACAGGACTGTAGGCTGGGGGTCCTGGACTGATCTGCCCAGCCTGAGGCAGGCCCCAGAGAGGTGGGCCTGGACGAAACCTAACCAGGAAAGAATATGTATTAGTAGCCTAGAGATAAGAATTAGTGATGCTGCCTAAGCCGAGTATCTGGTTGTGCTTAGGGTCATCCTAAAGCATTCAGGGGCCTTCAGGGTGGCAGCATTTCCCTCATTCTACCACCTTTGGGTTAGCTTGTCCCACAGAGTATGAGGAAGCTGGGTCTAGAGGCAAGCTGACTCGATGGATTCTTAATGTTACGACAGCAGGTAATACATCTAACTTTTCTGGGTTCTTTTATCTTTAGACAACTTGCTTTCAGAAGTAAATAGGAGACCATATGCCTGATGATTAGTGGCTGCTCTATATCATCACACATAGAAATACCAGTCAAGCAAAATAGGCAAGTAAAATTACAAAGCAAGAAAGAGAAAATAAAAGCAAATAACACCCCTCAAATCCAACTATTGCTTTAACCCCTTGTTATAGATCTTTTCTAACTGTTTTCTGTACATATGGCTATATGTATACATACAGGGCATGTCCAAAACAACGTATACGCATTTTAAGAGATGTTATCTATAGATTAGTTTTCGAAGTTGAATTCAATTATGATGGTAATGTGTAGTATAATGTTTGCTTAACTGCTTCCACTATTTTCTTTGACTGTCCTGCCTGTCACATGGTGATGCTAGCATTCATTTGATTAATGTCATCTTTTGAGTAAATGTCATACTTAAGATGCATATACATTTTTTTGGCATCCCCTGTATATGTTTAGGTGTGTGTTTTTAAATCAACACAGGATCATACGGTACATAGTTTTTTGCAATGCTCTTTTCTCAACAGTATGTATATCATGACCATATTTCCCTACCAGTAGAAGTAGACTGAATCATTTTCATACATTCATGACATCCATTGTTAGATATAGAATAATTTAGCCAGGCGCAGTGGCTCAAGCCACTTTGGAAGGCAGAGGCGATAGGTTTACCTGAGCACAGGGGTTTGAGACCAGCCTGAACAACATGGTGAGACCTCATCTCTACAATAAATTAAAAAAAAAATTAGCTGGGTATGGTGGCATATGCCTGTGGTTCCAGCTACTTGGAAAGCTGAGGTGGAAGGATCACCTGAGTCTAGCAGTTCGCGTCTGTGGTGGTCATGAGCGTGCCACCGCACTCCAGCCTGGGCGACAGAGTAAGACTCTGACTCAAAAAAAAAAGATAGATATAGAATAATTTATTTAACCAATTTCCCAATTCTAGACATTTAGGTGTCCAATTTCCTACTACCTATATTACAAGTGCTTGCTTTATTTGAAACAGGACCAAAAAAAGTTGTTGCAGCTTCTGAATCATAGCTTCTCTATTATGAACATCCTGTTTACACTGGTATTTGAACTTGAATGGCCTCTTCTTTTTTTTGGAGTTGGAGTCTCACTCCATCGTCCAGGTTGGAGTGCAGTGGCATGTTCATGGCCACCCCAGCATCGACCTGCTGGGCTCAGGCGATTCTTCGGCCTCAGCCTTCCAAGTAGCCAGAACTACAGGCATGTGCTACCATGCCCAGCTAATTTTTAGATTTATTGTAGAGATGAAGTCTCACCTAGTTGCCCAGACTGTTCTCGAACCTCGGGTTCAGGCAATCCGCTCACCTCGGTCTCCCAAAGTGCTGGGATTACAGGCTTGAGCCATAGCATCCGACCTTGGACAGCCTCTTAATCTCATCCCTCTAGTCTGATGACTGTTGATCAGAATCCTGACATGACATCCCTCGCAGTGAACAAGGGTGGCATTGTTCACAGTCTGTCCCAGGCAGAGACTCACAGTGAGATTAAATCACAGGTTGAAACTGAAGGCAAGAAGGAAACCGGGCACTAAAGAGGTTCAGGGCCCCATATTCTCAGTCTGCTTTCTTTCCTAACTCCTGCTGCTGATTTGATCACCACCTCTCCCACCGGCCCTGTCACAACTAGTGCTGACTGGTAAAACAAGAGGAGAGAGAGAATAAGAGAACAGCGATGACCTACCTTTCCCCAAATCATCCCAACTCTTCACAAAGGATACATGTTTTCCCTGTGTATGAAGCCCAGGGCTGCCAGGCCAAGATCACAAAGAAGGAAGAGTATTCATTCTCATTCGTAACTCCAGCTGGGACCCAGCTTTCACCAGAGTCTGCAAGCAGCCAGACTTTGCTCTGGGAGCTTGGAGAAGTGGCTGTCCCTCAGGCCTCTGCTGATATGCAGACTGGGGCCAGCCTTGAGGCCCAACTCTACTGACTAACACTGATCTAGCCCCACCATCATTCACTGCCATTTTCAAACATGGAAAAACTGGTGTTTAACCAGTTTTCAGAGGTCATCTGTCTAAATCAGTGGAACTCAGTACAGGTCCATTGGGGGAGAGGGGGTGGACATGAATTTCTTTCAGTTTAGTGAGACTGGTGATGTTTAGATAAAAAGTAATAAATTATCCTCTGTCTAATGCAGTGTCAGAAAAAGCATGGCTTGCATGTGGATCTGAAGACACACTCAGTGAGTTAACTGAAAGAAGACAGTCTTCAGTACTAAACTCCCTGGTCCAACAAGGATGTGTGATAGCAAAAGCAAAATCATAAAGTCAGCTTTCTTAGATTTGTTAATTACTATTATCACTATAATAATAAGAATAGTAGTAGTAATACACACGATTGAGCACTCATAATATGCTAGGCACTACACAAAGTGCTTTAATAAGTGTGATTGCCTTTATAAGGCAGATATTACCATCATCCCCATTTGACATATAGGAAAACTGAGACTCATAGAGGTAATAAATGCCCAATATCACAGACCTGGGATCAAGTCTGGGTCTGACTCTAAAACCTGTACTCATAAGCCCCCATGCTTTCACTGAGCTCCGAGGAAACCAAATCTAATGGGGTGATTGTGCAGTAACAGGGTGCCTGATATGGCATTATAGCCTTGACCTGATACATGCCTGATAAGTACATTGAAAGCGCACTCTTCGCTAAGTGGTGTGCAAAACCGGTTGGAAGAGAGGTAGACCAGTTTGTATAAGGAGGCTGGGCTTTCTTGAAAAAACCAATGATCCAACTCTTGTTTTTCAAGGGATGGATCAGGGTGGGTCAGAAAGTGCCAGAAATCCAAGTTGATGAGCAAGGTACAATAGAATTAGAAGGGAATGCTTTTTTTGCTTGAGCCAATGGGTTCAAGACCATCCTGGGCAACTTGGTGAGGCCTCATCTTTACAACAAATCAAAAAATTAGCTGGGTGTGGTGGCATGTACCTGTAGTTCCAGTTACTCGGAAGGCTGAGGTGGAAGGATTGCCTGAGCCTAGCAGGTCGAGATTGTGGTGGCAGTGAGTATGCCACTGCATTCGAGCCTGGGCAACAGAGTGAGACTCCAACTCAAAAAAAAAAAAGAGAGAGAGAGAAGGGAATGATTTTAAGACAGACTGGGCCAGTGGCTGTGCTTTGGGGAGTAATGGCTGAGTATGGGGATGTTGATCAAATGGCCTACAATCTTGGTCCCAGCATGGGGAACGAATGTGGCCTGAGTAGGTCACAATGGACAAGCCCTTCTGGAAACCTTAAGACTGCAGGATCCATCTTCAACAGTGACTTTATGTGGCCACAGGAGGCAATGACAATGGGATATTGATCATTGGACAGACAAGCTCCAAGATTCTTGGATGGTTGTGATTGGAGGTGGGGAGGGCGAAGTCTCAAGGGGGAGGTATTGGACCTAATGATAATAAAGCAGGTGGGAGCCTGAATGAAAAATAAAAGTGATGCCATCATGTTTACTCTTCAAACTTGTGGAGCAGGTCAGACCAGTACTACAAGGGACTGGGAACATTTTCGCCCCTTGACTGAGTTTTAATAGTTCTGCTCTGAAACTCACATAAACCAATGTTTGGCAAGCCAAGGTATCTATTAGCCAGATACCATGATCTTGCACAAGGGTATTGTGGACCATTCCAGGGCTCTCCAGTTGGGCTGCTGGGGAGCAGGCCCTTTATACCCCATTGTGCGCTACACAAAAGGCAAAACAGGGCTCATGATATAAACAAAACATAAACATGAAAAGCAATTTAAAAGCACCAGGCTGGAGTGCAATGGCACAATCATGACTCACTGCAGCCTTGACTTCCTGGACTCAGGAGATCCTTCTGCTTCAGTCTTCCAAGTAGTTGGGACTATAGGCGCACGCCACCATACCTGGTTAATTTTTTAATTTTTATTTTTAGAGATAAGGTTTTGCTTTGTTGCCCAGGCTGGTTTCAAACTCCTGGGCTGAAGCAATCCTCCTGCTTTGACCTCGCAAAGTGCTTTGATTACAGACATGAGTCACTGTGCCCGGCTAAAAAAATCCTCATCTTCACTCAACTTCACCCCTCACAATGCTCTTCCCCAGCCCCAGAACATACTGCAGAAAAAGGAAGAGAGGTCTCTCAATATCCTGAGAAAAAAAGCTGTCATTCTACTTCCTGTTCCACTCCTGGTTCAACTGGCCCAGAACATCCATCTTTTCTCACATTCAATCCACCCAATTAAGCAAATGGACATTCTGAGCCAATCTTCTTATGTTATACAACTTCCTGTCATCTGCAGCTGTGGTTAGGGTCTGATAGCAAGATTCTGTAGAGACTTAAAATCCTCTCTTTGAACTGTCTGCTAATTGATGGAGACAAACGCTTACTTAAGGCCATTGTTCTCTGTTCTCTTTACTTTCCTCTATACCAGCTCTGGTATTTTCAATTTGCATAACCATAAGTGCTGGTTGCCCTTTCTGTTCCTCTGTTTCTCATCTGCAAAATAGGGATAATAACACAATATTTACATGGGACAGTCACTGCCGATTCCCTAGCCAAATCCTCTCAGATCTTACTGCTGTGATGTACAACCATCCACCTTCCACCTGACTGAAGGCTTTTTCTAGTGGCCTGAGCCTACTATACAGCATGCAGGAATACTAGAGAGTTAATATCCCCCAGGGAGCGGCTTCCTAACCAATGACTGATGGCAGTTGGTGTATACATATGCCCTTGAGTGGGACAACTGTGAGGCATGTGTCTATATGATCCCTTGATATGGGCAACTCAAGGTGAATTCTGCATTGGCTTCCAGAGATCCCCAGCAGGATTGAGCCCCAGTTGCCCACAGCACTCGCTTGCTGGATAGCAGGCCCCCTAGTGGCTACCTAACCTCCTGTCTCTTGTCCCCATTCCCCTATCTGTGCTTCCTGGGATCATCCCTAGATGATCTACTTGTAGTCACATGTTTGACTAGGGGAACCCAACCTAAGACATTCAACATGTGTGGTCTTCTCCTTCAACAATGCCCCTATATTTCCCAGAAATCTACTTTTCTACTCACTTTACTTGTCTAGTCTTCAATTTAACTCCTCCATGTCCCTCCAGTATGAACAGAGGCCTTATCTCTTACCTCTCAGAATAAGTGGAAGCCATCAGTTGGCAACTGCCTTAACCAGCCCTCCCTAATATTTGTAGGTCCTGAGGCAAAATCTTATAAATGGAGGCTTATGCCCTTCCCCATCACCCCAAAACTTGTTCTCTTCCCATCCCTGGGAAATCTACAGAGTAAAGAGTTGCTGCATGCACCTGTGTGTGGACAGCTCAAACCCCACAGCCATGCTCTGTCTATAATCCTTGCAAGTAGCTGCCTCTTGGCCCCCCCTTAGACCAGTGGTGGGTAAGGTCCACCCTCAGAAGGAAGCCCACATAGACCCTGGATTTGGGGTGTTTTTATGACACTGTTTTGAAGGCATAAGACCCTGGATTCTGAGGTCCTAGGCATCACAGCAAGTTCTAGAAGGGTGAACATGAACTCTGAGCAGGCATATTCATTTGTGTCATGGAAAGATGAATCTAGAGGGTAGCTAGAGTTGATCCTTCTTCCATATGAGGCTCAGGGATGGGGGCCCAGTCTTTGGGGTCTAAGGGTGTACTATGCTTAACTCCTCTCCCTCAGTTTAACAAACCTACCTTCATCTACATCCATCCTCTCAACCTTCCCTCCTGTCCAAGCTAGAATGTGTTCTCCTATCTGAGGCCAATCCCTCTTCATGGAGTCTCCACTCAGAACTCAGAATCAGGGAGAAGTGAGAGGCAGTGAAGAGAGCCCTGGCCTTGGGGAAAGAGGGGACCAGGTTTAAGTTCTGGTCTTGTCATTCACTGGCCTACCTTCTACAGCTGACATGAAAGCTAAATGAGATAAGTCAGGTAAAAGTGCTCACTGAACTGACTAGTGCTACACAAGGTATAAAGAATGATTACTTTTAGCTGCAGTCCTGATTTTATATATAGTAGATTATAGAAGAAGACAGTGCCTGGAGCTTTGGAAAACAGCTTTTCTAGGTCTCAGCTGATGTCTTTGGACAATCAGATAATTTGTTTTCCTCTCATCATTGGCTGGTTGCATAAGATTTCTTTTTCTTTTTTATTCATGTTATTTATGAGGGCTGAGATTTTTAATTAAAATATCCTATCAAGAAACAAAGTGCTATTATTTAAAGGAGATTTTACTCTAATTCTTTAGGAAAGTCGCCTCAGAATGCTAGGTCAAACAAATCCACAGAGCCCCAGATAATACTAGTTTCTTTTCTTGTAAAAATGAAAGAAAGAAGTCATCACAGAATTTCTATGTATTTCAAACATAGCCTTTGAATAGCCAATAATAGGAAGAAGATAGAGAAAAAACTTGTGAGGTCAAGTGTAAATGCTGAATGAGATTCAAATAACATGGCTGAATTACTTGGTTCCTATGGCCCTCCAGCTAAGAAGGGTTTCTACATTCTTAATGAGTCAAAAAACAAAGAAGAATATACAAAAGAGGTTATGATTGGCCCTCAAAGCCTAAAATATGCACTATTTGGCCCTTTACAGAAAAAGTTTGCTGATCTTTACCCAAAATAATTGAAGAACTCACTGACTCTCTTCACCTTTATTTGTCAGCCCCTTGTGATATCATGACTCCGGTCTCTAAGGGCATCCTCAGCGCCACAGCTGGGGTGATGCATTATAATTCTCAGCCTATCAGAAATCATTTAACAGGTAATTTGAGGATGAACTTAACAAGGACCGAGAGAAGCCACTGGGACTAAGCACAAGGTACTGAGTCATTTTCTGGGGGAAGGGCTGGAGGGATCATGGTACATGTTCTAGACTCCGGAGACATAGCACAAATACAATTTAAGTAGGCCTTCTCAAGTCCTTGCCTTTTTGTTTAACCAGGCTAGGCCTTTTGGTCTTCACTCATGATCAGGGTTATGTGGTCTGGAGGAACAAACAAGCTGGTAAAAATGGAAACTGCACTAACTGGTAATCTTTGGTAGCCATCTGAAATTCTTGGCTACAAATGTTAGCTTTGGTTCCTACAGTCAGAAGTCAAAGCAAAAATCTGTAGCCTCAAACATCACAACCCAGTATGTCCAGATCTTCTTCCTTGGGTCTTACACTACTTTCTCCTGGCTCCAGCAAGAGGCAGAGGCAAAGGATTTTCTGTTCTTCTAATTCACGGTTTTAGAATAATTTATGCCATAGCTTCCTTCTTACCTCTGCCTAAAGCATAAATTGAATCATTTCAGTATAGTATATTACTAATTTCTATTTACTTAACTGAGATTATTTTTGAATGAAATATTATATCATCCACTTTGATAGAAAACTAGATATTTTTTATTCACACTTACCTTCAGTCCTGGAGGGAGGACCTCTTGCTTGTGGATCTGGATGAGTGTGATACTCACAAGCACCACAACACTTACAAGCAAGACCACCAACGCGATGATGGCTGGGGTTCGGTAGAGGGCCCTGAAGCCTAAAATGAGAAGACCCAGAAGATACATGAGGGAAAAGTAGGAACTAGGCATTGGTCTTCTTTGTAAAATTCATGGACTGAGTCCATAATCATGTACATAAACCACTTCATTTGAAGTTGGTGAGACCCACATTTTTAAGGTGAAGTAGCAAGCAAGCTCCAATACCCACTTATCTATCCCCTAAAACTGTGGACTAAAACAGTGTTTTCAGGGAGGGTAAGTATGGTCTAGTTTTCTAGTATTTCTCAAAGTATATCATGCATATTACTGGTCATCCCTGAGATGAATTACAATAACATTCGTTTTAATGGAGTATAAAAAATATTCAGTTTTCTATTAAAGTGGATGATATAATATTTCATTCAAAAATAATCTCAGTTAAGTAAATAGAAATTAGTAATATACTATACTGAAATGATTCAATTTATGTGAAGTTCTAAAACACGTAGGTAACAGAAATGAGAACAGTTGATTGCCTGGAGGTTTGGGGCAGGGATTCACTGGGAAGGAACATATGGGTACTTTCTGGAGGTTATGGAATGGCTGTATACCTTAATAGGATTATGGAGTACATGGATATGTACATTTGTCAAAATTCATCAGATCTTTCAAAGTCCTATGGGGAAAACTTGAAAATCAAAGTAAATCAGCTCCTTAGATATAATTTATTTTTTAAAAGATTCTTATAAATTGTCCCCACTATCCTAAAAATATACTTTTGGAATTCAAGAGTACCCAATTTAGGGGCACAACTTAAGATCTATTAATTTCACTGGTATAAAGTATATCTAATTTTTTGTAAAGATAAAAAAGACATTTAATTAAAATAATGACTAAATAATAACCTTGGTAGAATTATTAGGACATAAACATAAATGGTACCCAAATGTCTCAATAATACAATAAATTATAATAGAAAGATCACTAGATTCAGAGAATCTCAATATATTTCTCATAAGTTGGCTATTTACATGTAAATTAGTTAAAATACAATAAAATAAAAAACTCAATTCCTGAATCTTATTAACCACATTTCAAATGTTCAGTAACCACATGTGGTCTAATGGCTACCACAGTGGACAGTACAGCTAGAAAACATTCCCATCATTACAGAAAGTTCTACTGAGTGGCAATAGAGTAAATACTGTTCTATTCTAGAACATTTATTCTTAGATCACCATAACTTATGCTTTGTCCCTTCATTATTTCTGAGACATTTTCCCAGAAGCAAAAAAAAAAAAAAAAAAAAAGGCACGTGTATGCTACCATGATAGAATTAGATTAAGCTCCAATATCCAATCATATCACAACACTCACTACATGGGGAGGGACAGTCATGCAGTTGGTCTCCATGGCTCTGAACAACCAACTTTTCTGCCCTGATTCTCTTGCAGTGTGGATGGAATCACAGACACATCCTTATGTCAAAGGTGGTCACTTAATACCTTAATTCTCTTGTCATTGAGAATGTAAACTGGTATAGCATCGATGAAGGGTAATTTGTCAAAATTTATCAAAATTGCAAAAGAGCATACTATCAGACTTGTAATCCCGCTTCTGGGAATTTATGCCACAGAACTAGCCCTACATGTGTAAATGACTTATACACAAGGCTACTCATTGCAGAATCATTTGCAATAGTAATTGGAGAGAGAGTCAGCTACCATAAAGTTGACCTTCAGATCACTTTTCCAGGATTCCAGATAAAAGTACACAAACCAGCCAGGAACCAGTTAATCCACAAAAGCTGCATCAACTTCCAAAGAATGCATATGTCACTGCCAGTTACAGAGGTTTAAGACATTTTTTCCCCTAACAAGACATGTAGAGATTTCATCTGCCAAGTTAAACTTGTCCTTCCGAAGGAATGTGACAGGTTAGTCTGTATGTGTGATGTTACAGTTTCTGTATTATCATTTCAAAGTGCTTTGGGGGAAAATCTGGAAATCAAAGTAAACTAACTCCTTAAGTACAATTTCCCTTTACAAAAAAAAAATTCATATAAATTGCCCTTACTGTCCTAAAATCCTTTTGGAAGGCGAGAATACTCAATTTTGGGGCATGACGTCTATCCATGGGGGAGGGGTGTGTGATATGTAAGCAGTTTCCTGACCACTGCCACGTGGCTGGCCTCCTAAGTCCTCTGTTTCAGCAGTTTTCAAGTAAAAAGCTATGATTACCTTAAGCAAACCCTTGTCCCAGCAGAATGGCTTACTGCAAAGCAAAATGGACTAGACCAGGTCTCATTCGTGTAGGAAATGGAGCCTAGAGCTGTGCTATCATTAGGGCTGGACAAACACTCTAATTGCAAGGTGCCTACCTGAGCGTGGAGAAGCCAGAGTCTTTTGGTCTTCCACATGAGCAACTCCAAAGTGCTCCAGAGGCAGGTGGAGCAAGCTTAGAGGTAGGCGTGTGTGTGTGTGTGTGTGTGTGTGTGTGTGTGTGTGTGTGTGTGTGTGTGAGAGAGAGAGAGAGAGAGAGAGAGAGAGAGAGAGAGAGAG